AAGAACAACCAATTAACTATCAAAACTGATTGGCTAACGCTATTTCTTTCCTTTGCTGGTGCTCTTTTATTCTTTCATGTTAACTGAAGGCAAATGATGCACTATTTTAACTTTAATCAACAAGTACAACTGACATGACATCCTCACCTTCTCTTATTCCAGAAAAGTCCCTCACCCAATGCTGAATGGAGCTGTACAGCTGCAGCTCACATGCATGAATGTTGGGGTTGGGGGAGGGGGCATGTCTAGTTGATGCACAAAATCAGCACCCTGATAAAGAGGTTGACTGGCACAAAGTATTTTATGTATTTTGAAAATACAAAAATACTAATCTTAAATGTATTTAAATACAAATTACATTTGATTTTTGCCGAAGGCTTTCAAATACAAAATACAAAATAGTATTTTGTATTTCAAATACGTATTTTAAATACATATATCTGAAATACTGCCCATCCCTGATCATATGACCCCTTTAAAGCCACATCAGTTTAAACTTCTGATATAGGCTAGTGTTTTCTGAGCGCACACATCCAAAGCACAGAAACAGAAAGCGGCTGTCACATGGCATGTGAGAAAGTTCTCTTTCATGTCTTATTGTGCTTAAACTGTCAAATGCACAAAAGTTTGTTAAAAACACATTTACAAAAACAGTAGGTTATGTCTGTGAAGGTAAACAGCTGGGAAAGAAATCGCATGTTTATATTAGATCTGTGGTGCAGCAGCGTAATATACAGTAAATAAATAAATCCACTGCTCTCTTGTCTCCTCTGAGGCTGGGACTCTAAATAGTGTTCTGTGCTCGTCTATGCAGCTAACGATAGAACAATTAGCATGCTTTGCTCGAACTTTTGCCATTTTGCTAGAACTGGTACACCATTGTTGCTTGCGAAAACAAGAATGCCAGCTCTGTGAGTGGAAACGTGCAGATAAAGGGGCGGTTATATTATAATAAGATCCCTTTGCCACGTCACAAAGGGAGCGAAATCTGACGTGCTCGTTTTTTCAGACGCTTGCAGAAAAAGGCTTACCAAAACAAAGTTATTGGGTTAATCTTTTTCACGTTTCCTGGGTTGGTAGATGCACTGGGGACCCGATTATAGCACGGAAAAAGTCAGATTTTCATGATATGTCACCTTTAACATCTCAACCGATTTGAAACATCACATATTTTAATCGATTTTCAACCAGCTCGCGGTTAATCGTTACATCCCTACTAATCATATATTCAAACTGGTGGACAACTGGTTGACAATCTTAACCCATCCATATTAGAACCAATTGAAAAAATTCTGGAGCACATGCAGTTCATAACTATTGAACATTTAAGCAAATTAGCGGCTAATCTGTATGAATTAGCACGATCACATTCGTATGTTTTCATACTGCTTACTCCCCACTGATGGTTAGGTTTTGAGGTGGGGACAGGGTAGGAGCTTCCAGGAGCTCCTTCAAAAAAAAAAAAAAAAAAAAAAAAAAAAAAAAAAAAACCACAAAAAAAAC